GCCTGGGTTTTGCTTTAACCTCTCTGTTGCAGAGATGCAGAGCACCCAGAGAGCCTATTTCTATCAGCGCTTTCCTATCCTCCACCTAGAACCAGGTGACTGGCCGCCCGGCGTGGCCTCCTGTGTGTGGCGCCTCCAAGGCTGTGTGACAGATGCTTCTGCTGAGCTTTCTTCCCCGTGGCTGCTCCTGCCCGACGCTGCCCCTTCCCTGGTCTCTGCCCTGGGCTTGTGGACGGGCTCCTCCCGCACCCCATTGCAGGCCTCCGGTAGAACACCAGGCACACCAGTGGCTGTGTTTGGAGATTGGGGACTTTGTGTTAAAGATCTTAAAGGGCAAAAAAAAATTGTTTGATAATCCATACCGTCTTCAGAAGTCCCCCTTGTGACGACAGCATCTCACTGCTTGGATGACGGTCATGTCTCAGCATGAGGGCTGTTGCGTGTGTGTGTGTGTGAACCTAGAAGCTGAAAGGGCACCTGTGCGTCTGTGCAGCAGTCGCCCAGCAGGAACCTGCTCCTGGGTGGGGCCTCCTGGGGGCAGGACACACTCGCGTGAAGTGACCAGTCATTATGGGGCATAGTTGACCTCCCACTGGGTGACCTGAGTGGCCTTCACAAGCCACCCACCCCCAGGACACCTTTGGTAGCCAGTCCAAGGGGCCCTGCAGTGGCCGCATGAAGTCCAGATGCCTCTCGTTTTAACTGATGGGTTCATCGGGTCCATCACCCCGGCTTCCCTCTTGAGCAACTGTTCCATTTGTTGTCTTCAAATAAAATAACAGATCTGGCCACAAAGTAATAGGAAACCGACTTTGTCACAGAATTCTTTTGCATCCTGCAACGGAAGACTTCAAATTTAATGCTGGCTCTTGCTTAAGACTGACCTCAAATCACTGGCCACCTTGCTTGAGTTTGTTGGTTGTTTTGTTTTCTCCTTGGGGGAAGCAGTTCACTTCATTGCTCTGGGCATGAGCCACGGTGATGAGGGCTGCTTCCTGAGAAGGCTGGTTTAAACGATAAAGACCCGTGAGCTCAGGGACAAAGCAAGACTCGAGAGGGAGAAGGAACCACCGACCTTGGGGCAGTCATGGTCAGCAGTGGTCCTTTGGAACTCTCTGCTTTGACAACGCTCATGCTCTAGGTCCCTGATGTAGGGAGGTCTGCGTGGGGGGTGCAGACAGAAAGGGAGTCACCCAGAGCCCTGCAGGCGATGGCCAAGTAGCTTTTGAGCCCTCGCCTTCTGACTTGGCCCGGCGTGCTCGGGTAAAGGTCCACGTGAATTCAGGATGCTGATTTGCTTTTTTCAAATGTGACCCCATGGGCTGCAGGATTCCTGCAAATCAAGTTTGAACAGCACCGCTGAGCCAGGCGAGGGGACCAGCTTGACTCACTGCTCCCCGATGCATTCTTGGCCCTGTTGTGTCTCTGGGTTAGGAGCTGCCCAGGGTGGCTGAGACAGGCGATGTGAATGTGGAGCAGCCTTCCGGAATGCGCTGCCCCCTCTTAGTGGCTCTGCGGTCTTCCCAAACCTTTTTTTGCTGCCTGCTCCTTGCTCACAAGGTCAAGTTCGCTCAACGTTTAGAGGTGATCGTAGCCCGCTGTGTAGACTCCAAGTAGAAGAGGTCTGCTGTTTGGTAGTCTCCTCTTCCATCCTGATGTCTGTCTGTCTTTCCCGCCCCTCCGCCTCCATCTGGACCTGGGCACTCACGTGCTTTTGCGTGGTCTCTGCAGTGGACCGTATCATCGGCCTGGACCAGGTGGCCGGCATGTCGGAGACGGCGATGCCCGGGGCCTTCAAGACGCGCAAGGGCATGTTCCGCACCGTGGGGCAGCTCTACAAGGAGCAGCTGGCCAAGCTGATGGCCACGCTGAGGAACACCAACCCCAACTTCGTCCGCTGCATCATCCCCAACCACGAGAAGAAGGTGCGGCCGCCCGGTGGCATGTGCGGGGTGGGCACAGTGCAGGGCGCTCAGCCCTCGTCTGTCTCCCAAAGGAGAAACGCTTCCTCCCCCAGCACGCAGAGCCCCTGGTCAAGTCCCTCTGCAGGGTGGCTCGGGCGCTTTTAGGAGATAGGCTGTGTTTCCACTGCTCCCAGACCTGGATCAGCCTGACTGAGCTGTCGAAACCTATGGGGGTAAAAAGAAAAAAAAAAAGAAACTAAAATTAAACCCCGATAATTAAAACAAAACAAAACCTACAGGTGGCAGTGACTCCCAGCTCCTGGGGATTTTGGGTTGCTGTATCCAGAGGGGCCCACCCTTTCTCCATCAGCTCCTCGGCACAGGAGCAAGACCACATGCATGTCTTTTCTCCTCTAGGCTGGCAAGCTGGACCCCCATCTGGTGCTGGACCAGCTGCGCTGCAATGGGGTCCTTGAGGGCATCCGGATCTGCCGTCAGGGCTTCCCCAACCGCGTGGTCTTCCAGGAGTTCCGGCAGAGGTGAGCAGGGCCTGCGGCCGGCCTCTCGTGCCAGTGGCCAGGCTGCTCTCCAGCAGGGGCCTTGGGTTGGGGAGCCGTTTCCTTGTCCACGCTGAGCTGAGGTCCAGCTGGCTCCTCACACGGTCCTCCATGCCACCCTCCCTGTGAGAAGGGATGTCCCGGTTTTTTCGCTGAGATGATGGTTTTCTTGCTGGCTTTCACTCCTAGTGACCTCAGGGGCCTGGGGCTGTTTGCTGCAGTTAGAGGAGCTGTGAAGAGAAATTAAGGAGGCTCAGTTAGAGACTTGGGCATTAAAGGAACTTTATGGAAACGGAAATCGGCTGTGTGTGCAGGGAGGGACATTGGTGGCACTGGCCTATTTGCCTAATGACTGTGTTTAGTGGAAACTGCTATCGTGTTGCAGCCCTCTGTTTAATTTTGTGGACCACCCCGTTGATTAGTGGTTCCCTGCAGCATCCCAGGGAAGAGGTGGGCATGGTCTTCTGGGGTTACAGACACAGGTGCTGGGCGATTAGCAGTTAGTAAGCCCACGCTGAGGCTCACCCTTAAGTGACTGAAACATTCCAACCGAGTTTCCACTCACTTTCTGGAAAACACCAGGCCTTCCTTGTGCTGTTCAGCCTTAGAAAAGAGCAAGGCATGGTTCGCTGAAGGTTCCCCCATCCTCAGGAGACTTTGTGAAAAGGGTTCCACATCTGCTGCGCCCTCACCTCCCACGAATGTGCAGGCCACGTGGAGTGAAGGGGTACACTGACCCGGCTGCCCATTCCTTCCTCAGATACGAGATCCTGACACCAAATTCCATCCCCAAGGGCTTCATGGACGGGAAGCAGGCATGTGTGCTCATGGTGAGTTGGGCTGCTGTCCCCTCCCCGCATTGGGTGCCCTATGGCTGCTGGACCCGTCGATGCCCGTGCTCCCTGGTTCCTCCAACGCGCCATTTCTGATTCTGCGGGGGGCCCCATGTGGTAGCCCCCTCAGCACTTGGGTGCTCGGGTTGGTGTGTGGGCACGGGCCTGGGAGGAGGAGGCCAGAGCTGTGGCGTGGCCAGGATGTGGTGTGAGATGGTCCCTTCCTTTTGGGCACATTCTGGTCCTTTCTTGCTCACGTCTCCTCTGATCTTCATGTGCGGTGTGGTCGGCAGGGCACCTCCCAACCAGGACACCGCGACTGGCCCAAAGCCACCAGAGTCAGTGCTTCTGGACCTTTCCTCTCTCCCCCTACCCCTGGGCCAGTGCTGGACAGGCAATGGGCACTGGGTGAATGAAGGCCCCATGGTGACTCAGTGGCCAAGCCGGGGCTGTACCCACCTGGTCATTTTTCTGCTTTGCAGGCAGGCGTCTCCTTTGTCTGATGCTTCCAGGGTCAGCAGCCAGCTTTTGATTTGTTTACTTTGCATCCTTTCCAGAGAATCAGCAGAGGATGGGCTGGGGGTGGGGAGAGGAAAGAGAAAAGGGAAGAAAAATTCAACACCTGCTCTGTGCAAAGCCACGCATTTGAGGGACAGGGAGACTGAGGCTAGAAAAAGGAGGGAGGAGATGGCTCCCTGCCCTCCGATGCTCATCAGCTGGTGGAAAGGAGACGTGAAGGATGGAGGGTGTGCCTCTACCTCGGGTCTGGACCACCGTTCTCCAGGAGACTCAGCTGCTGGCCAGTGAGGGGTGTCCCTCCTTCAGGCACAGTCAGGTCCCCTCTGTCCAGCTCTGCAGGGAAGACAGGAGGCCTGGGCTCATCATGCAGGGAGGGAGGTACCCATGTTGCCTTCTGTTCCGCACATCTTCCCTTCTGCAGGGGCCTCTTTGAGGCCTGCCTGGACCGTTCATGGGCATTAGGGGCCCCCAGATCCCATTTATCTTATTCAAGCCTCTGCCTCTTGGAGCTTGTTCTAAATCCCTTCTCTCCCAGGCAGACAGACAGACCGACAGACCCTTGCCAGTGGGCTTAACAAGAGAGCCTTGTTAACTGTACTGAAACAGCTCGGGAATAGTAACCACGCGGAAGTTCATTCAGCCCTAGACCCCGTGCTAAGCGCTTTCTGTGCGTTTTCTTGTTTGATTCCCACAGCTCTTCTAGGAAGGAGGTGCTATTATTTACTTTGTTAACTTTTCTTTTCCTTAAAGGAGGTGTTCCCACTCTTCAGCTGAGGAAATGTGGGCTCACAGAGGTTAGGCCTGGGGTCACCTGGTTAGTGTTTGATCCTGGGCCTGGCCAGAGCTGGGGCCAGTGCTGGGCTTCGGGGCAGCAGTGAGCTTAGGTACTTGGAGGGTGACCCTGCCAGGTGTTTCTAGAGCGTGACTGTGGTGTGCTGGGCAGGGCAGAGAGGAAGGGGAGACCTTTAGAGTTCCTTTAATGCAGAGATTCTATGTTTCTCTGCAAGTCTGACTCGTTACCCTGTGCCGTGCTGGCACCCACCTGCCCCCTGCCCAGCATCCCCCAGCCTCACTTTCTCTGCATCAGGTTAAGGCTGTCCGCAGGGCAGAGGGACTGACCCCGGCCCGAGGCCCCTGCCCCTGCTGTGGCCTTGCTCCAGGGCTCCGTGGTGGTAGGATGGTGGGGGTGAGTGGCCGGCTCTTTTCCCGTCTAGATCAAAGCCCTGGAGCTCGACAGCAACCTATACCGCATTGGCCAGAGCAAGGTCTTCTTCCGGGCCGGCGTGCTGGCCCACCTGGAGGAGGAGCGGGACCTGAAGATCACCGACGTCATCATTGGCTTCCAGGCCTGCTGCAGGGGCTACCTGGCCAGAAAGTGAGTCCCGAGACACCCACCTGCCCAGCCAGCCCCCCACTCCGGCCCCTCCCAGCTCTCCTGTGGTGGAGGGCACTTAGGAAGCTGTGGCCTAGGGGCCCTCGCCCTAATGCCAGTCAGGTGTTGGCCTGGGGAGGCCCACGTGGCTTTCCCTGCCCCCCTGCTTCCCGGATTTTTGCCTGGGGTTTAAAGTGAGCTGGTGGGAAGGGGTGACTGTGTTCAGATCTGCCTGCCCTGAAAGCTCCTGCCCTCCACAGTTCCTCACTATGTCTCTCACGTAGGGATGACACCCAGAGCTGGCAGTCCTCGAGTGCCGAGCAGCTCCTAGGGAACTCGGGCTCACCTGCTCGGTGGCCACTGCACGTTGGTCCCTTGAGCCCCTCTGTGTGCTCAGGAGCGTCCATTCCAGCCTGAGCTCTGAGCACTGGGGGTCAGAGTGTGAGTTTGCGTTGTTTGCAGGACGTCAGCTGCTGCCATTCTCCTGCCAAACAGAAGCCCCAAGGTTGTGGGTGGCATGAAGGTGGGCAGATGCCATCAGTAGATGGACTTAATGACCAGCAGTTGCACTTGACTTAGGCCTGTAGTGACTTCACTCATCTCTTAAGTGATGGTGTATGATTGTGACCTCGGCCCTGGTCACCCTCTGCGAGGTTCACCCAAAAGACTCAACCCCAAGCCAGCCTCCTTCCCTACACTTCTGCCTCGAGGTGTCCCAGGCAGAGGTGATTCCCTTTGCAAAAGCCTCTGGGAGCGACTGTCAGAGTGGAGGTCAGCTGTCCCCTGCTTGGAGGTGCTGACCGTGACCCTCACCCCACAGGGCCTTTGCCAAGCGGCAGCAGCAGCTGACGGCCATGAAGGTCCTGCAGAGGAACTGTGCCGCCTACCTCAAGCTGCGGAACTGGCAGTGGTGGCGGCTCTTCACCAAGGTGGGTCTGGAGGTGCCTCCGTGTGGCCGAGGGGACCAGTGGGCCTCCCATGGCCTCCTGCGGGGCTCAGGCCTCAGGACAGGCACTTTGCCTTCATGCCCCATGTCCTGCCCTGTGGGGTCTAGAGGGGAGTGAGCCGGGACATTGTCCAGGGTCGAGGCCAGGGCTGCTGTCGGGCTGGGCCAGAGCTGCTCCAGGAGCAGCTCCGGGAGGTCCAGTCCCCACCACCCCCCAGGCCCCACGTGGTGTGGCCGTTGCTCGCCCAGAAACAAGGGATTGGTGGGTCAGAATCTGCACAGGGCTGGTTGGATCCTCCCTAGCGTTAAAGAAAAAAACCTCTTTATTATTTTAAGGCTGGTCAGGCTGCTTTTGTTGCTAATAAATAATTTGTGGTAATTGTGAAAAGTTGGACCAACAGAAGGGTAAACAAGAATATAAAAATTCACCCACAATTTCTTCAACCTTGAGCCAACATAAATATTGAATAGATGTTTCAGTATTTATTCTTGCTTTTTTTTCATTCCTGGTACATTTCTGCTGTGTAAACCATACACATTCTTAAATAACAGAGCTTTGACTTGTTTAAACAGTCTTGTTTTGCATCTTCCACTTAAAATTCCTTTATAAGCATCATTTTTAAAACATTAACATACTGTTCCCTAGAGATGTTTCATAATTTATCTGGCTACTTTTCCAACAGTGACTTTCCACTGTTATACACACAGGGACGTTTTCCTTGAAATGCAGTTAGCGGGTCAGAGGCCAATGCCTCACCGAACCAGACTGACTTCCAGAAAGACTACCCATTTGCACCTCCTCCGTGCAGCATCCTACCTGCCCCGTGGCTCTCAACCTGCACAGGCAGCTTCCCCTAAGCGAGTCTTCTCCGTCTCCTCTCCTAGGTCAAGCCGCTCCTGCAGGTGAGCCGGCAGGAGGAGGAGATGATGGCCAAGGAGGAGGAGCTGGTGAAGGTGCGGGAGAAGCAGCTAGCTGCTGAGAACAGGCTCACGGAGATGGAGACTCTCCAGTCACAGGTGGGTGTCCGCAGGCGCTGCCCAGGTAGTGCTGCCACCTGCTGGCTATGAGTAGGCAAAGCATGCTTGGCCTTTAAGGCGATGTTTTCCTGTTTCTATAGAGAAATGGTGGTTAATCTCTCTGCATATCCCATTTGGGGTTACATGATGTAGGAAAGCTGCCCCATGGGGTGGAAAGTTCATGAATGATGGGTTCAAGGCCCAGCTTCAGCACTTCTCCTAGGGATCTTGGTGAGCAGCTCATAGAGCAGTGGCGAAGGATGAAAGGTGTGATATTTAGACATGCCTGGGAGCTGAAGCATTCTGGGGTGGAAACTGCCCTTGGAGCACAGGGCTCTCCCTGCAGGAGCCTGTGCAGGTGACCAGCTCTCCTGGAGAGGTGGCCGGCTCGAGGAGGTCATAGGAGTTCATATTTCCCATGTGTTCTTGCAGCTCATGGCCGAGAAGCTGCAGCTGCAGGAGCAGCTCCAGGCGGAAACGGAGCTGTGTGCCGAGGCCGAGGAGCTCCGAGCCCGCCTGACCGCCAAGAAGCAGGAGCTGGAGGAGATCTGCCACGACCTGGAGGCTAGGGTGGAGGAGGAGGAGGAGCGCTGCCAGCACCTGCAGACCGAGAAGAAGAAGATGCAGCAGAACATCCAGGTCTCAGGAGAGGGGCAGGGCCGCCCAGCGGTGGGGCGGGGGGCTGGGTGGTGAGGAGCAGCGACACAGGAATGGGAGAGAACTGGGCGTCACAAGTGCTGTGGGGGACAACGCCGCACCTTTGTCCTGGGGGCAGCCTCGGGGAGGCTTTCTCTTTTGGGCGGTTATTTCTAACACGTACGTGTCAGGTGAGCTCTGCCCCATGGAGCATTGAAGCCAATTTAATTTCCTTCCTTGGTCCTCGCTTCGCTGGTCTGCGGAGCAGATGGTGGGGGGTAGAAAGCTAAAGGAAGCCTGTCAGAACATGTGACCCCATGATTGGACCCGGGTTCGTGTCCCCTTACCCAGTTTTTAAATCCATGACCCCACATGTGGGGGCCAGGCCCCGTACCAGTGGTGCCGCAGGCTCGTGGGGTGCACTCTGCTCACGGTCTCTCCGACTTCGCTGTAGGAACTGGAGGAGCAGCTGGAGGAGGAGGAGAGTGCCCGGCAGAAGCTGCAGCTGGAGAAGGTGACCACTGAGGCCAAGCTGAAGAAGCTGGAGGAGGACCAGATCATCATGGAGGACCAGAACTGCAAGCTGGCCAAGGTCAGGCCGGCTGTGCGCCGTGGGGGCTGTGGGGCGGGAGGGGCTGGGGGCGAGTGGCTCCAGGGTCCTGGCTGCGGGCTGGGTCCCCGTCCACGTCTGCCTGGTGACAGATGACAGCTGGGAATTGCATTGGAGGAGAAGGAGGGGCAGGGGCAGGACGTCGTCCTCCATCTCCAGAGGGTGTGGTGATTGGGTTGACATGGCAGGACACCTACCCAGGGACCCTGTGCCATAGGGAGCGAGACGCTTGTGCTGAGTGATGCTGATTTGTCGAGACTGGGACTCTAGTGGTGGCCACAGAAGGCAGAAAGTGAGAGGAGCAGGGGCCCATTGTGGGCTGAGGAAGGAGGCACCAGCACGGGCAAGGTGGTGCTGTCGTGCCTGCCCTGAATTCCCACACCAATACTCCCTGTCACCCAGAAGCTCCCCTTACCTGAGCAGAAAGGGGTAACGCAGGCCCAGGAGGGGCTTGGGCAGCCCAGTTTTGGACCCCAAGGAAGCTCGCCCAGCTGCTTCAGGGGAGCCAGTGACCTCTCAGAATTACCTCTTCGATCCAGGAAAGCCCATTGAAATTGATCCAGTGTTTAAGGCTCTGCCCCTCCATTCAGTCCCAAACACCTGATGAGTCGTGCTTTGAAGCGAGCTGAAGTGTTCTGCACTCAACTAACCCAGCTCTGACCTCCCCTCCCCCCACCAGGAGAAGAAGCTGCTGGAAGACAGAATAGCTGAATTCACCACCAACCTCATGGAAGAGGAGGAGAAATCTAAGAGCCTCGCCAAACTCAAGAACAAGCACGAGGCGATGATCACCGACCTGGAGGGTAAGATGGTGGCGGGAACTGTCGGGCTCGGGGGGCGTGTGGGGAGCATCCACTGCCCAGGGGCCAGCCTGGGCCTTGCTGCCATGGCCCTCAGGACCCGGGGGCCAGCACCCGTCCCTGTGGGAGTCTGGGCCTCTGGGCACTAGTGCTTTGTGGTTGGGGAGGGATGTTCAGGGAAGAGTGTTCAGAATCATGCTCTGGCGTCTCAGTTATCAAGCACTGTGTGTCTCACCAGCTTCTAAGACTTCCTGGGAGGTTCTGGGTTTGACCCTCCTCTTCCACTTACTTGCTGTGTCATCTTGTACCTGTTACTTAATCTCCATGAGCTTTAGTTTTTCTTGCCTCTAAGGGGACACAGCAAAAGAGTGTGTGAGGGTTAAACTAAATAATATGCACAGACATGCTGTTTGTACTGTAAGATGCCAGGCAGGCACTGCGAGAGGCCATTGCTTGACGTGGGGCAGGGTGACAAACCTATCTTCATCCTCCTGTGCCCTGGGGTCCACGGCAGCCAGCACAAGCACTGATCTGTGCTGTCTGGGGACCCCCTGTTCCCTGCCCCTTGGGAGGGGCTGACCACAGGGAATGGGGGCAGTTCAGACCCCTGGGGGCCTCCGAGCTCCAGGGAGAAACCACTGCTCCATCTGCTGAGACGTGGGCAGCCCGGTGCACAGGGCAGTTGTCAGTACCCCGTGGACGCAGGGACGAAAGCACCCTGGCTGGTGACTGGGAGGCTTTTCCCAGGATGAGGTGGGTTAGGCCGCCAAGGGGAAGAGGGGTCCTGACACAGAGACTTATCTCTTCATCTGGGAATAGTCTGAAAGACTACTGCATCGTCCACGAGGTCTTGGAGCAGCACACCCACTGGAGTGACAAACATGAAAGTTTGACACCACCAAGCATTGCCGAAGATGTAGGACAGCCAGAGCACGCACATGCTGCCGGTGGGAGTATAAATGGGTGGACAGCTCTGGAGAACAATCTAGAAGTGCCCGTGAGGTTGCAGCTTTGCTCGCAGCCCAGTCCTCTTGTTCATATGCACTGGGTGTCCCGGGCAGGAAGTGTTGTGGCAGCGTGCTCTCAGGAGGGCACACAACAAACACATCACAGGTGCCCCCAGCTGTCGGGCGGACAGATAGGTTGGGGTGTGTTCACACGGTGGAATACACAGACTGGAGCCCGGATGGATCACTTACAGTGACCCTTAACTTGCCAGATCTCAAAGTCATAATGTTGTGACAAAGGTGAGACACGGAGTAAGAGCCGCCTCACTGAACACGCTTTATGGGCTGGCACTGTTCTGGGTGCCTGGAAGTTGGTTTCAGACACCAACTCCTTTGTGCCTCACAAAAGCCTCATGAAGTAGCTCGTCTTCCACCCTCACTACTCAGATGAGGCACAGAGATGTAAGGTGACGTCATAGCAGGAATTGTAAAGCCCTTTGGACCCTGGCCCCGCTGCACCGACTCCATAGAAACCATACAAGACAGGTCCCTTCTGTGAGTTCAGATTCCTGCCAAACTAAGCATTACATTTTTAGGGAGGTACAGCCTCAAAGGAAAACGAGAGAAGTGGAAACACAAACACAGACTTTGGGAGAGGAGTTCCCTGGTGGGAAAGGCTGGCAGGTGGGGTTGGAGAGACACAGGACTAGGCCGCTTATGGTGATGTCTTCCCCTTCGTCCAGGAGCTGGGTCGGGTGTCTGGGTATCAGGGTTGTTTGGTTTGTGGTAACAAACATTCGGTGTTTTATATAAGAATTGGAGGCAGAAAAATCGGTGGCGACTCAGGGCTCTGTCGGCGTCTCCCCGTTCTTGTTCCCCAGAGCGCCTCCGAAGAGAGGAGAAGCAGCGTCAGGAGCTGGAGAAGACCCGCCGGAAGCTGGAGGGAGACTCCACGGACCTCAGCGACCAGATCGCCGAGCTGCAGGCCCAGATCGCCGAGCTCAAGATGCAGCTGGCCAAGAAAGAGGAGGAGCTGCAGGCTGCCCTGGCCAGGTGAGAACCAAGCACATCAGCCCGTGGCCAGTGCCAGTGCTGTCAGCGCGCTTCCTGCCGTGGTTCTCGGTGCATCAGGGAGCGGCGGGCACGCGTTCCTCTGTTGTCTTGGAAGCCAATTCATGGCAAAATGTTTCCTATGCACTAAAAGCTCAGCCTAAGGCTTCTCTGTCATTTGTTTGTAACCCTCCCAAGAGTCATCCACAACCCTCGTCAGCCAGTCACAGCAATCCCTTCTATTCCTTTCCTTTTTAAGATTTCTTGGCTATAGGCATGCTTTTTAAAAATAGATCTTACTTTTTTAGAGCAGTTTTAAATTCACAACAAAGCTGAGCAGAAGGTATAGAAAATTCCTGGGTCCCCATGTGAACAGCCTTCTCCGTTATCCACCCGCCCCACCGCCAGCAAGAGTGATATATTTATTACAGTTGCCAGACCTGCAGACACATCATTATTTCCCAAAGTCCATAGCATATTTGTATTTTTACTTACTTGTTGTAATCATGGACAGTAGCGTTTGTTCCCCTCCATCTTTTTTTCCATTTAACATTCGAATTTTTTTATGTTTAAAGCACTGAATCTTAATTTAGAAAAAGAAATGATTCCTCTGTGAGGTTTTTGAATTCTCAAAGTGGTATTGCCCTTAAGTCTTCAAAATGCCTCAGACTTTTTAGCTGAGAAGAGCTCCTAAGGGCCATGATTATGACTGCCAGAAGCAGCTTTGGCTGCACTTAGCTAAAACCTTGTCTGCAAATTGTGCTCTCTGAAGGTGACGGTGACCTCATCCTAATGTTGTTGGTCTCTTTGGCAGAGTGGAAGAAGAAGCCTCCCAGAAGAACATAGCCCTGAAGAAGATCCGGGAGCTGGAATCTCAGATTTCTGAACTCCAAGAAGACCTGGAGTCTGAGCGTGCCTCCAGGAATAAAGCTGAGAAGCAGAAACGGGATCTCGGGGAAGAGCTGGAGGCTCTGAAAACAGAGTTGGAGGACACTCTGGATTCCACTGCTGCCCAGCAGGAGCTCAGGTGTGCCTTGGGGTCGACCGGCCAGGTCACTGAGGATGGGTGGTGGTGCAAGGAAAGAGAGGCCGTGGCCTCGAAGGGGTAGACCCCTCGTCTCTATGCACACACAGTGGCTTTACTGTAATGGATAAGAGAGCACAGAAGCTGATGGTTCCTTAATAGCGTCTGCCTCAAGTGGGGCAGAGCAGACCTATCAGAGAACTTGGCTTGGAGTTGGGGTGATGCATGGGTGGGCCTCGAGGCTGAAAGGCTACAGAAGCCTCTCCAAAGTGTGTCTGTGGGCCTGACCTGTAGGATGGATGGCTGAGGAGGGAGGCCAGCGGGCAGAAAGCCACCTCGCTGGGCTCTCTCTGCTGCTACAGAGGCCCCAGGGGAGCATCACTCCAGGGTCCCCAGCCTCCCTCCTGAGGGCGTTTCTCTGTCCAGGTCTAAACGTGAACAGGAAGTGAACATCCTGAAGAAGACCCTCGAGGAGGAGGCCAGGACCCACGAGGCCCAGATCCAGGAGATGAGGCAGAAGCATTCGCAGGCTGTGGAGGAGCTGGCGGAGCAGCTGGAGCAGACGAAGCGGGTGCGTCGGTTCCCCAGGGACCGGCCCTTGCGGCTCCACCCCTGTGGGTGGGGCGCTCCCGGAGTCCAGGCTCCAGTGGCCGTGGACTTGGGCAGATAGGTACCCCCCTGCCTCAGTCTCTCCATCTGTAAGGCAGGCTAATGGTGAACCTGCCTCATACGATGCTATGCCAGTTGGAGTTGGTAACACATGAGGCACTTAGACAGTAAGGGCTCCATAAGTTGCTCAGGTGTCATTTACTGTCATCATCATTGTCCTGCTCGACAACCTGCCAGACTAGGAAGTCTCCTGGCTGCTCTAGAGCACCTCCAGCAGGTGGTCAGCTGGAGTCTTCACGGGAGGACCCTGGGGATGTTCACCCCAGCTGATTCTCAGCCAGGCAGTTGTGGCCGGGCAGTTTCTGAACAGGACCAGCCCTGCCTCCTGTGGCTCAGGGCTCGTGGCCACTCCTGGCGGCAGCCTGAGAGGGCCAAGGCTCTTCCACATGGCGACCTATCCAATATCTTCAGAAACACGCCTTGTCCGTCCGTCTCCAGCTTCACCTGGTGCTGGCAGGTTGAAGCCTTTCCTTGCTCTGTACCCAGCGTGCTTTGCATACCTGCTGGTTCTGGTTTATCCTCGCTTGGCCCAGAGACGCTGCAGCTGGCTCCGTGCAGACTAGAATGGGATTGTCACGTTTATTCTGTGAACTCCGATTTTACATTTTGGGGAGGAATGTTACATTATTATTTTGAATATCGCATCTCCACGAGGTTTTATGGGAAGTCTGTGAACAGTTCTCATTTCCCTCATCCTATAACAATATCATGAAGATCTTAATATCAGCAACAGTGACATCTTGCACTTGGATGCCCTCTGAACCCAGAGTGGGAGGCTGGGCGGGGATTGTGTGAGAGTTGGGGAAGCCGAGCCCTGAGAGGTGAGGCCCCGTGCCTGGTGTCCCGCCCCAGCTGGGTGATGAGTACGGATCAGGTCCAGGGCTCCTGCCAGCTCACCTTCCCCTGAACTTGCCCAGTGTCATTTTTGCTCCAGAGGCAGCAGATTCTGGGTCTGGATCCGCCAGCTTTCCTGATGATGTTAGAAAGACCAGCCTCACGGTCAGGCTCTGGTGCCCTTGTGAACATCTTCACTTTCTTCCCTGGCCTCCCCAGGTGAAAGCTAACCTTGAAAAGGCCAAGCAGACCCTGGAGAATGAGCGAGGGGAGCTGGCCAACGAGGTGAAGGTGCTGCTGCAGGGCAAGGGGGACTCTGAGCACAAGCGGAAGAAGGTGGAGGCCCAGCTGCAGGAGCTGCAGGTGAAGTTCACTGAGGGAGAGCGCGTGCGCACGGAGCTGGCCGACAAGGTCTCCAAGCTGCAGGTGAGGCCTCCCTGGGGGCTGCCAGGGTCTTGGCCCACATCTCCAGGGCTCCTGCTCCTTCTTTTCTCCCTCTCTCTCTCTACCTCCCCCCTCCTCAAAGAGGCTCATCAGCCAGGCGTCCAGGATTCAGCCTGTGACTTGAGTCCAGCATGGCCGCAGAGCTGAGGTGGGGCCCAGGCAGGTCGAGCTTAGGGTGCTTTGTCTCCTGTCCTCACACAGGTTGAACTGGACAACGTGACAGGTCTTCTTACCCAGTCGGACAGCAAGTCCAGCAAGCTCACCAAGGACTTCTCCGCTCTGGAGTCCCAGCTGCAGGACACGCAGGTGAGGGCAGCCACAGGTCCCTGCAGCTGGACTGGTCTGGGAGGTCCTGTGCTCATGTGGCATCAGCTGCCGGACCTCTGGTCCTGCGTCACGGGGCATCCTCCCCGTGTCCACAGGCTCTCAGGGTCCTCCCAGATCCCTGCCAGGTCTTTCTGCCATCTCCCCCTGAATAAGAGGGGGACCGGCTCTTCCCTCCTGTTGAGGGTGTGGGAACCATGAGGCCCCGACACTGGGTGTCCTGAGCCCCTGCCCCCCTTGTCCTCGGAGTAGGAACTGCTGCAGGAGGAGAACCGGCAGAAACTCAGCCTGAGCACGAAGCTGAAGCAGGTGGAAGATGAGAAGAACTCCCTCAAGGATCAGCTGGAGGAGGAGGAGGAGGCCAAACGGAACCTTGAGAAGCAGATCGCCACCCTCCACGCCCAGGTTCGGAGCCGGACCCCGCCCCCTAGCAGGATGCCCCAGAACACTGGTCAGATCCCATAGGCTGGGCAGCTCCCAGTGGGGCCCCTGCCTGGACCCACCCAGGCCTCCCCGAGCCGGACGCTCTCCCCCAGGGAGCTCCTGCTCTCCCCAGGAGGGGCCCATGCCTGGGGTCCCCAGGGAGAATTTAGGGATCCATGAACTTGGATGGAGGAGATCTAACATCTTTATTTCACCAGTCTCTCGCTGACATGCAGCATTTTCTTCCATCATAAACGTAAGCAGCAAGCCGTGGCAGGAGCCTGTGGCCTGTTCCGTAGAAACCACTGGTCACCGTGTCCGAGCTGCGGCTGGGCTTTGGGAAAGTCACTGTGCTCCTTGCTTCTCAGGAGCCTGCTGTTTGCAGTGCTGAGAAGCGCGTGGGTTACAGAAGCACAGTCTTAAAAAAAAAACGCCCCGTGACTGCAATTTTCTATACTGGTTTCTTGGTAATCCTATATGTTTTGCCTTTTGCATGTTAAAACATCATCCTGAGAAGGAGGCCAGAGTCTTCTCTAGACTCTCAAAGGTTCTGGGGCCAAAAATAGACCAAGAGCCCTGTTCTAGATCCTGTCTTGCGACTTAAATGTGCTGGAAGAGCTGCACCACAGCCTGGGGGCGAGTGGCCAGTGTGTGCATGTGGTGGCCGCCATGTGTCCAGGTGTGAGGCACGGGCTGCGGGATGGACGCCCGCGGTCCGCTGCAGGGAGAGGAGAGTGCAGGAGGCCCCCTCTCTGGGTTTTGGTCTTTGTACGAGCGGCTAGATGCAGATCATAATTGAGAGGCCTTCTGAAGCTGACCCGTGGGGCCAACCTCCTCCGGGCTCCACGTGCTAGGCAGGTGCCCTGTGCAGAAGCTCCATTTCCCTTGCCCCAGAGGGAGAGGGGAGTGGTTCAAGGAAACTGCTTCTGTAGCTCGGTTGGTTTCTCCCTGTTCCTCCGTTCATGGGTAGCAGGCCAGCTCCCAGCTGTCCCTGGCACAGGTGTGGTACCCGCACAGGGGCCGTGCTGGGCGTTTCCTTACCCCTTGCTCCTGCCCAGGTGACCGACATGAGGAAGAAGATGGACGACGGAATGGGGTGCCTGGAGACGGCCGAGGAAGCCAAGAGGAAGCTCCAGAAGGACCTGGAGGGGCTGAGCCAGCGCTACGAGGAGAAGGTGGCTGCCTATGACAAGCTGGAGAAGACCAAGACGCGGCTGCAGCAGGAGCTGGACGACCTGCTGGTGGACCTGGACCACCAGCGGCAGAGCGTCTCCAACCTGGAGAAGAAGCAGAAGAAGTTTGACCAGGTGGGTGTCGTCGGCGCTTCTTCCCTGCTGCAGACACCCTGCCTCGGGCAGAGGCCGCTGTCTGTCAGCCGGGCCCAGGGTCACCGTCACCCAGCTTGTTGGGGTGGCCGTGCGGGGCAGGCACTCAGAGGGCGCTCCTGTTTTCCAGCTCATCGAGGGGCCTAGAAAGAAAGCGCTCGAACAGGGCATCTTCACACAATAGGTTTGGGAGTGACTTTTCCCCTTTCTGGTTTCCTGCATTTTAAACATTTTCTTTAATGAACCAGATTTATTTAGAACTCTCATTTATATGCTCACACCTCTTGCTCACTCCTGCAGATCTGATGCAGATGGTGGGGTGGGATAGAAAAGTGGAAAAAAGCAGGGG